AAATTCGACTCAACCTTGACAAATCACAACATATCACTTTTACCCTTCGACGTGAAACTTGCCCCCCTATTTACCTTGACAATATCCAAATTCCTCAGACAGACAAAGTTCAATATCTTGGACTGACCTTTGACAGAAGAATGACATGGGGCCAACATATCAAAAACAAAACAAAAACTTTAAACCTAAGACTACGCCTATTGTACTCACTCCTTGCAAGAAATTCGAAATTAAAACTTAGACAGAAATTGAATACATATACTTACCTACTCAAGCCTATTTGGACCTACGCTTTACAGATATATGGGACAGCCAAAAAGACTCACATACGTAAATTACAGACTTTTCAATCTAAAACTTTCAGGACTATTACCAAAGCTCCCTGGTACGTCAGTAACATTACTCTACATAAAGACTTACAGATGCCAACAGTTAACGACCACATACGAACATACTACAAACGATTCCATAATAACTTACACGGACATACAAACTCATTGATTCGAGGCATGGCCACAACTAACATGCCCGATAGCACCCGAAGAAGGCTTAAAAGAAGCTGGATGAGGGATCTCCTCCACTAACTAGAAATATTACGCTCAAGACAGGAAGGACGCCGCTGGGTACTCCTCTCCCTCACGCCTATTCCAAGACCAATCTCTTCATCTTGACATCACACTCGCTGATTGTCGGAACTTCTGACAGGTGTGAGTTGAAGAATCAAGTCAAAAAAAAAAAAAAAAAAAAAAGATTCCTCTTATTGTCGTAAAATTAAATTGAATTTTAATTGATTATTTAACATATTTCAGTGTGTACTAAAAAAAATAATAATAATAAAAAATGAATAAATCTTATTCCATATAATTATATCATAACTGAGATATATTAATTTAACATATGAGGATGGTAACTAATTTCAGTAATCACCTGAGAGAAGATCCATCTAGTAAGCTTGCAGCTGGCACATGTTACACTCATTCTGATGCTAAACTTCAACTCGGTCTTGTAATGTATGAAGTAAATTAAAGTACTGTAACATGTAAAATAATCACTATTTAAGTTTCAATAAATTTTATAAAGATTCTGGTTTCATCACACTTGTCTACAAGTAGCTGTAAATAGAACCACACCATGCCTGTCAAACGATGTGGTAAACAGATCGTATATCCTTTGGATCAATAAATGTCACTTTGTCCTACTTTATACGCAACGAATATATATATTTTTAAATAGATTCACTAATATATATATATATATATATATATATATATACATATATATACATATTAATATTAATGTGGAAGTGTAAATTTATATGCTATTATCATTAATTATATACCCGTTGCTACAGAAATAAAAATGCATGTATAGAAATTTTAATAAAACGATTAAAATTAAATTTATTCAAACGAATGTTATGCAACTATTTTTTTACGAATATTTCTAACGGTTCATTTATTTTGTTGCAATAATTTAATTAATTAGTAATGAGCCATAAATAAAACACTATACCCATTAAAAATCTCATTACTTCTTTTTTAATTAATAATTACAAACATATATATGTTTCTTTAAAATTTATAATAATAATAAATTAAGAAATATAGACGTGCTCTTAAACGTCAACACTAACTACCGTCGTGGCCTAAAGGACGTTGCCCGACCAACCTTGACCGGCAAGAGTCCTTTACCTTGTAAAAGTCTTACCTTCAACGATTCTCCAACGGAGATGAAATCCGTACAAGAACATTAAATAATATAGATGTATATATATATATATATATATATATATATATATATATATATATATATATATATATATATATATATATATATATATATATATACATTTTTTTTTTTATTATAATTTATATCCATGAGTTTGGGTCATTTATATATTCTTTTTATCATTACTATTACTGTTTATATGAATATTCTTCAAATAAAGAAACAATGATAGATAATGAGTTTAGAATTTAAAATACATAAAACTAATATGAAATAGTCTTAAAAAAAAATAATAATCAAATATCCATTTGGTCAATAACCCACGGAAATTTCATAAAACATTTGATGAATTTAAAACGCCGTCAAAAATAAATAAAAACATAAATCAATGGAAACTATATATATACATACAATTTATATGGGACTTAGTATATGTACATTTTATTTAAATTTATATTTTTTCTTGTAATTTATTTACATATTTTTATTCCTACTAACATACAATAGTTTAAAATATAATAGCACTCTAAACATAGTCTGGACATTAATAAACTCGACAAAAAATAATAAATATTTCAATGTATATTACATTACAGAAAAAAATCAAAACAAAATAATATTCAAGAACGATATAGTTCATAAACAAAACTATTCCATATGTAAGTCTCAATCAAGTAGTTAAGTAACATATTTATAAGCTATTTTCTCCAGTATCTATCAGAAATATGTTCAAAATATTTTATTAAGTAATATACCATTCTGTCACAATAAGGGCAATGATTATAGTTAAGTACGAGTCCATTCACACCATAGTCAGAGAAAAAAACAATAAGTAACATGAAATAGAAACAAACTAACAACTAAATAATAATCCATTCGGTGCCCGTGAAGGGGGGCTTTTAGCTCTGGCATTAATCCTCCGCCCTCACCGGGGGTTTTCTAGTTCGAGAAAACCCCCGTATAGCCTAAAAGGTCAGGAAGTGGAGAAAAAAAAAATAGTATAAACATACCTATATTTAACATTTACAATGCGTCAACGAAACTCTAATCCAGGCTTGCCCCTCCCGCTAGTGTAGGCAAAATCCTAAAAAGTGTGGTACTAAAATAATACAAGATTCATAGCTATCATTGTTGATCGTTGGACATCTCACACTCTTTCTTTTTTCCTTGGTTATATAATTTTAATCAATAAATGCAAATTTAATTTTTTTTTTTGGGGGGGGGAGGGGAGGACGGGGAGAGAGAGAGAGAGGAATGTTATTCTTCCATCTCCCTTTGTATTGTTCCGTACAGTCTCTGTCTTGCAGACGTGCCTAATGTTTACAGCTGGTAATCACACACATACTAATCACCTTTGCTACGCCTCATTACCAATGCTAAACCTCGCCCAAGTAATTACAGGCTACAGAGAATCGAAAGTTCCAGATGTTCAAACAACAATTAGAACATGAGACGGACGATTTCATCAGGGAATATTCAGACGTTCAAACCCACTGGATTAATTTCGAGAGAACACAAGGCACAAGACAGGCGGTTTTCTCTTCATGTGGGATATAATTAATTGATCAATTTAAATTGCCGTATAATTAATTAATTAATGAGCCTCATTGAAGTATATAAAAGTAGCAGCTAATAACCATTATTTTGTTCTTTACCGACAGGAGTATAAGTAGAAGGGAAGAAAAAACAACTCCTTGAATAGTAATAAAATTAATTTTATATATATTTTAAAAATAATGAAAAGTTTAATAATCTAAAATATATATAATATATACAGATCTTTTTCCGTCTCTCAAGAGCTATGGATTTTGATTGGACGAGGTATCAAAAGAAAGGAAATTTCAAGATAAAATGAATAATTTAAATTTCAATAATTTAATTCGAACAACAGCCATAATAAACATCATCATATAAAGTTAGAGGTTTCGAAACTCCGATTGGGACGGAACAAATTGTGTTTTATAAATTTGGATCATCTTATCCTTCAGGGCGAAAAAAAGTACATCTTCCAAAAAAGTCAGAAAGAAAGTTATGGAGAAAATGAAACTTTTTTTGCACATAACTCAAAAATTAAATAATTTATGATTAGTTATACCCATGATATTTTGAAAGGTTTAAAATTTCCCACAAAATGAAAAAAAAATATCTAAATCTAGCCATTTATAGAAAAAGCCAAGTGTAATTTGACCACACATCTCCCAAATTTCCCGTCGTACTATATCCATCCTGAAACAGTTTAACCATCTACGTTATCTTCTTCCATTCAAAACCCGTCAACTCCTGGTCTCCTCTCTTGTTTTCCCCCACTTCGACTATGGCTGCATGGTGTACGGTGGACTCTCGGGAGAACTCGAAGCTAAACTTAAACGTTTAATGAATTGCTCAATCCGCTTTAACTTCGGAATCTCAAGGGATACGCATATTACCCAGTTCTAGACCAAGTTGAAGTGACTCTATCCGTCCTACCGCCGTCAATATTTCTTTGCTACCTTCCTATACCAAGCCATTAGAACACGGCGACCTGCCTTTATTCTACAGATCTTACAATTCAAACGCTCCTTTCAATCCCATCCCACCAGATCCCGTGCGTCCGACCTCTATCCTCCTCCTCACCGTACTGCTGCGTTTGATAAATCCTTTTTAATACAAGTTGTCTCCCTCTGGAACTCTATACCTTCAGATATTCGACACGCAAAATCAATATCCTATTTCAAATCTCTCCTCTTCAAACATATACCCCATTCCTAATCCGATTGATCACGAAATGCACTTAAAAACTGTACAAACCTCAAAGTACGCCCAGATACTCTGATTACTTTGTGATTCATCGGTATTTCGTTTACTTAATTACTTTCTCTGTATATTTTATATTTACACGTATTTATATCGTTTTATTATTTATAACTTTATTTTGTATTCCTGATCAACCTGTAAATATTAAATTGTATTTCATGGACACACCAAAATATCGATATATATTCTGTATTTGTAACTTGTTCTAAAGGGACACTAGTCCCAGAATAATAAAATTATTTTCATTCATTCATATTTTGGTTTATTATTTTGAACGAATCATAATAATCAAACGAGGAAATGAAAATTAATTCCTTCCTCTCATAATACATTACGTTTACATATTTCTATATTTTATCGCCATTTGTTCACTTAGCAATATATTATGCGAATTATAACCATATACTAACTAATATCATATATTTTATTTTATAATACATAAGTGAAGGTGTATAATACAATGAGAACCTTCTTTTTTTCCAGATGACGCCCACCAAAGTAATACACAGCATACGCTTGCTAGTCATAGGACTTCTGATAAGCGAGGGCCTGGCTGTACAGTTCTTCGACTCTATTCATAATTACACAGGTAAGTTTTGCAAATAAATAAATATGCATTATATAAAAAAATTAATACGTCCACACAATAGACTATACTTTCATCAGGAATATCAGCTGTAAACTAATATGATTTTTTTTGTATTTCCTAATTCGGTAAATCACGGTTAATTCTAGAACGTTTAACAAGCCTGATATGGAATGCTAATACCAAGAAATCCACCATCAAATATAAAGTATTTATATGTCATATAGATAATCTTAATATATTTTTTTAAAGTATTAACGCACTCTACTTTTAGTTATAGGAAACATAAGTTCACAAGATATAAATAAATATGTCCGATAAATCTTTATTTTTTTTCTAAATCAAAATTAAGACATCAATATTAACTTATAAAAAATATTGGACCAATTTTCCTATATAACCTCGTTATTTTGACATTTGGGACTGGAGATCACACCAAATGGACCAATATCATGTTATCTTACGATTCAAGTGGAAAACAAATGCCTATTCATGAGTTTTTAGTACCTGATTAAATAAACGAAGCTTGCCGATCTCCAGGTTGAAAACGCTTCAATTCCTAAAATTTTCGGTCAGCAAATATTTTTAGATTAAGATGAGATGAAGCTATTTACGAAGTTTTAGGCAAAGGTTAATAATTTGAAAAAAAAAATGGTTTACTATAAAAAATATATTTTTTAGCATTAAAAAATCAAACACAAGACGCCATTTTTCCAATATGTTCAACACCCGCTTTCGTCTATTGATTCGTTCCATAGTATTTTGCATGGTAATTTTATTAAATGATTCCGACTAATCCTAGTAAAAGCCTTTTTTCTAGTATTCTCCACATCATCGAATTTGACTTTCCTTTTTTTCTAAAGAAGACGGATTCATTGACACCCATAATAGTAAAACATTATTTTGTCATTTATGTTTCTGACAGCTACTTATAGGATACTATCGTATACTAAAATTAAGATGAAAGAAAGTCAGTATTAAAATCGTAGGCTCAGACTTTCGAATTTGATTGGGAGAGGAGAGAGCGATGTACCAGAAAAAAAAAAAAAAAAAGAGCGGGAGTTTATATTATGTGTAAAAATTCTACATAATTATTGTGAACCAAACAAATATAGAATTTAAAATTAATTTGTTTATATTTTTGCGAAGTTGTAAGAATTTTTTTTTTTTACTTATTATATATACTTAAAAATGTCTTTTAAAAAATACAATTGAATATATAACACATTTCTTACACAGCCTTCATAACATTGTTACAATTCTGGGACTTTAGCTAAAAATAAATAATGTAAAAAAGTGAAAAATATCTTTGATTTTTAGTGTGTACAACATCAAACAAAAATACTACGTTTTTCACAGTCCGACTAGTTTTTTCGCGGAAAATGTGATAATAATATCACTTGAAAAAGTGAGGAGTTATATTTAATATCATATATTGATTCATAAAATACTTGAATATTTTTATATACATTATTATCTTTAAACATAAATGACGCTGTAAATAAAAGTAACATTTAGGCATCAATAAAATAGATACATGCCAAATACTAGGTCCTAGCCAGGTTATGTATGACTTTTTTTTAATGCATTTTAGTGAACATATTCTATTCATCCATATAGCTTATTTATTATTGATTTTAATTTATTTTTGAATTGAACTCTTCATTTGAGGTAGGTTCTTTTAAGTTTGAGGGAGTGAAAAGTTGTATATACCTTGGATCTGAAATTAATAGCAAAAATGACATGGCTCAAGAAATACAGAGAAGAATCACGGCTGCCAATAGATGTGTCTTTGGACTTGGCCGAAGAAGTACGTACCTCTCAAAGAAGACCAAGCTGATCATATACAAGAACCTTGTTCGGCATGTTTTGACATATGGCTCAGAGGCTTGGACGATGACTAAAAACGATGAGATGAAGCTGAGTGTGTTTGAGCGAGGAGTCCTCTGAAGGATTTATGGTCCAGTAAAGGAGGGTGATGTCTGGAGGAAAAGAAAAAATAGGGATCTCCTTTCTCTTTATACAGACATCGACGTAGTTAGGTATATTAAACTGGCCAGACTAAGGTGGGCAGGGCATGTGGCCAGAATGAGCACCGTTGAAATACCAAAGAAAATAATGATGGAGGAGCTGCACCTCGTAAGACGGGTAGAAAGGCCGAGGACGAGATGGTTGGACAACGTGGCCTATGATGCGAGAACCCTGCTTGGTGTACGGAACTGGAGAGCTGCAGCAGAAGACAGAGCCAACTGGCGGAGGCTCTTGAAGGAGGCCCTGTCTCGGTAACGGGATGTCGTGCCACATATGATGATGATGATGAATTTATTTTTACCACAAATCATGGGGGAAGAGGGAACGAAACGATATTTTCACTCTTTTAACATTTTTATAGGGGGTGTTGGGGACTCTCTCCCCTCCTACGAAGTCCAACAACAAGTATGGTCAAAACAACTCGACTTGATACTAATTACTTGTCAAATCAAGAGGTTATTACGAGTTAATTGATATTAAATGGTAATGAACTTATTATTTTTTTTTATTGCACCAACTACCGTAAACATATCCTTGAGATTAGATAGTACCATTACTATTCACTGCCGGTAGGCGACAGGACATTTAATTATCATATCTGTCATTCCCAACTTGGGAATAAAGCTGTCTTATTTATTTTATTGGGTCAGTCATCTAGGACGCGGACGCCTTTGCGAAACCCATACGCGACAGTCCCCTATTTGGCGAAAATTGGCATTTATCACTCTCGGTGTAAATAAATGTAATTCAATATTTTTTTTTTACTCTTGCTCCAGTTGAGCGACCAATGAAGAAATATGAACCAAACCCGTCGAGTGGGCGGTCCACTCAAGATAGGGTGTAATAATTTATCGGCTTGTTCTGGAATTATTAAACTCCAGAGTGCCTTTCTAGGTGCAATATTGCACGAAATGGACAGATGTTTGAAGGGTGGTTTTATAAAAGGAATTTTATATATTATGGAATAACAAGAAACATTCCTTAATAAATATATTTAAATAATGGAAATCCTTGTTCTTTTAATTCTTTCTTTAGTTAGTATTATGATATATGATATGGATGAGTCTCTCACATCTCACATACTCAAATGCCCTTAATTTAGGAAAACTGTATTTTTTCTCAATAAAATAAGATAAGTTGCAAAAAAACTTTAGTTTCATAAAAAATATTAGAGAACGGCTTCGATAATCCGGGCCCCCAGTAATCCGAAACCCCTTTAACTTGAACAAGAAAGGAAAAAAAATTAAAAGTGAGTGACGAGCAGAGATGAGCAAATATCACTCTGATTACCGAGTACCAAATATTTTGATCATTTACTGACCTTTTTTGAGTACCAAAGAATTTAATTACTACTTCAATTGATGTCATACAATTAACTGGAGTAGTGATTGAATTCTCAATAGTGCTTCAATTTGAGTAAAATACTCGTTACTCGGTACTCAGAATAGCATTTGCCCATCTGTGCTGACTAGTGACGGGATTGAAATGGCTCCGTTTCTCGGTAAATGTTACTGGAATTGCTTCATATGATTGTTTGTAGTGTCTCTAAAAGTGATATTTGCTGCAGATATCGCTGTGGTGTCTATTTTCCGGGGCTATGTTAGCTGAATAGACAAAGTTTTTATTTATTATTTTTTTAAGATGGATTACACAGATTTTAACGCCAGTGAACCTTTTCAATTTAATCTTACCATGTTAACTTAAAAATCAATATTTTAAATTTTTGTTTAACCGAAAATTTCTTTGCACTCATTTTATTTTTCATTATAGATAAGTCATATAAAAGCTATGAATGCAATTAATACTTGCTTGGAGTAGGCGAATGGACCCAACAATGAGTTTCGAAGCCTGGTATTTTTTAGGTGTTTTCTTTAGTAACAAAATCAGAGACTCATCTTACAATAAATGGTCAATTTTTTAATTTGCAATGTTTTTATGATTAACTGATAATACATACATTTGCATTACCTTGTGCAATTTTTCCATCATCTTAAATTTAACCTTAGATAATACGAACCTTTTGATTATCCAAACAGGCCATGCAATGTAGGTGTTCGGATTATCACGACCGTTCTATATTATTAACATAAAAATATCTGAAAATAATTTGAATTTAAATAAAACATAAATCAAAAACATATTATCTGTTCCTCTGCAGCTTGGTGGAAAAGAAAGTTATTAGACCAAATATACTCTGCCTCCTCAATCAACACGTTCCTAGTTTGGTTTTAAACGACCTTTCAGTTTTAGAGCTATATAGTTTATACTATAAACTTTATAGCTAGTAATCTGAGACGTGATTCACTCAACTCACGTCTGAAGCTTATCCCAAGTGCTCTGTTATTTTATCTTCTTTTTAAAATTTTCATTATTGCATTTCGACAACTATTCGCTCTCTTGTCTACATTTATCCAGTATTAAACATTTCCCGCGCCCTCGTAATTTAGTTTAAATTCGGTTTGGCCAAGTAACTATCCTCATTATTAAAAATTAGAGGACTTTACCAGGATGGAAACTGTGAAAGACTCTATCTAAGATTTTCTCAATCGAGAAAAAAAAAAATGTAGTACTTATCATTAGTAAGTAGGTAAATCAGGCAATTATAGCGAAATGCTGACAATGTCAAGCTAAGAATACCGTACGGTTGAAGATCTAAAAAAAAAATACATTAAATTTATCTCATTAGATGAGTTCTACAACCGTGTAATATTTGTAAATTATGTAAAATTTCTTACGGGATATCTTTATATATTTTAATACTATAATTACATTTTCACGATAGTATAATAATATTAATACTTATAAATTGAAACCATTGATGTTATTTCATGATACATTTTTAGTAGCTGGCATAATTATTAATTCTATCCTGTAGAAATAAAATTTGTTTTGTAAAAGAAATTTGCTTTCCATTGATTAGTTATTTGTTAAGCCCAGATTACTCTGTTCTTGCAGAAATAGTTTTTATTTGA